GCTGGTGCCAGGGGTGGGGGCGTCGTTGCGGGGGGTGGGGGTGTTGGACTTGAGGCCAGGCGTAGAGGATTTGTCATTCTGTTGAGGGAACGAGAGAGCAAGCACATTCACAATCCCGGAAACCAGGCACTGTGCAGACTGACAATTTGAGAGCAAACTGAACTTAATCCAATCTAATTCTGACAACCCTCATAGTCCTGCAGAGCCATAAACTGCTATTTATTCTAAAACCTATTATGGCCACAATGGAGATGGGGCCGTTTTTATCCCCTTACTGCTTTGGCTTTAATCTTTTAGTGAGGCAGAGGGGGGAAAAATCCTGGAATAGTTAAATACATTGAGCTATTAACAGAGAAGACCTGACTGATCCTGATGCGGGACAATATTATCCCTGACGTTTAGTCATGCACTTAAAGCACCGACAGCCATTCCTAATCCACTACAGAAAACGTCCTAGATTTATTTGCACATATCCCTTTGCTCTCTCTGCAATTCTCATTTAAACCCTTTCTGTCCTAGTTTGTTCGTAACTCTTGGTGTCTTACATGACTGAGCTCCTTGGCCTTGGAGGATGGGGTGCTTCCAGAGGACGCCACTGATGCAGGGCTGTTGGGCGTGTCCTTCTTAGGAGGGCGAGGCTTGTCGATGCCATTTTCAGGTGGGGAGTGAGCTGGGCTTGCCCGCGGAGTGGCAGGGTCCTAGAGAACCAAAGCAATAGAGTTTGACGTTTATGTAATAGCTTCATCTCAGTACATGTCAATATGCCATTTACAATTACATGCCGCACTGCTCACCTCATTAGACACATCTACCACCAGGTCATCACTTTTCTCTCCATCACTGTCCTGTAATGATAATTGGAAAATTAGTCACCTTAACCAATCTTTTTTTCTCAATGAAACCTTGGTGATCCACATCTCTGACTACTGGAGGGCCTTGGGAATAATTTGACATTTTGGGTAATACGCTTAATCGCCGTCTTGCCAAGAGTTTGATGAGCCTGGACCACGAGAGCAGTCACTTCCTGGAGGTGAGGTTGCAACTGGCGGAGACTATAACCCCCAATAAAACCACAATGTGTTGTCTTTTTCACTTTGGTGGAACAAACAATTGAGTCAATAGTGAGCTTTGGAGGTCATGTTTTCTTTTCTTTAAACCTTTGGGCTATCTGTTGCCCCTCCTGGTTGTAGGTTCATATTTGATGGACAGACATGAGAGTGGTGTGGGCCTTCTTATCTTACTCTTGGCAAAAAAAGCGAATAAGTGAACAATTCCTTTAATGACTTACATATCTGCTCATGCTGTCCTTCTCCTCCACTTTGCGTTTCTTAGAGTCCAAACTGTAGTCAGAGGAGCTGCGGTGCTTTTCACTGGATGTGCGTAAGCTTTCTGATGGAGATATAGAGTTATTCTGCAAAGAGAAAACCAAACATACTTTATTACCATTTCGTCTTCCATCGTAAAAGAGAGCAGTGAGTCACTCATCAGTTACAAATTTACAGCGAACACGCTGTGCCAATCCAAACACTAAAAATGCCTCATTCACACAACTATGGACGCTGCAGACTCTTAAAATGCAGCTGTAGGCCAGCTCCAAGCAGTACCCTGACACCAGCCAAGCCCAATCTCACACACAAGCCTGTCCCTGGGCAAACAACAGAATGGGCCGTTATCTGAACAGAATGGAGGAGGGCTTGTTTTCTGAGCTGGGCTCCCTCCTCCTCATAACTGGACAACAAACAGCCTCACAGGGACATGAGCAGTGTGTTGTGGCTGAACAGAGGGCCTTTTCTCCGGAGTCAGTCAGGCTAAGCGTGAGAGAGAGAGGGGAGGAGAGACACAGAGAGAAAGAGAAAATGAGAGAGAGACTGTATGTTGTGGGCATTGGGCATTGATTGCTGCAGCGCGCTTGGGCACCACGTCAGCTCAGAATTTGAGCTCTGATAAAGAAAGAGAATCTATATCCTGCCAGTGGGCACAGCAGCGTGGGACTGACTGGTGCTTCTTCATGGAGCCTGCCTGCCCACACAAGCTGGGACAGCTCACTCCAAACACCAACAGAATGGGAGGAACTAGGCAAGTGTCCAGCGGCTTTCACAGGAGTTTGCCATTTGCCTGTAAACTGCCAAGTTCTCCTGATTCCCTCTGTCTCTTCCTCTGAAGACCAAAGCAACAACATGGACTAAGTCAGTGGCAGCCCAGAGAAGTGAACAATGGCCGATGGACTAGCAGTCTGGGCAAAGGGCCACTGTCTGCATAATGGCTGACCTTTAAAGGGATGCTTAGCGTGACTCATTAACCAAAGTCACCACTCTGCTATCAGATGACCTGGGACAAGAGCACAGAAACAAAACAGGCCTGCTAATCGCCCCAGGAGTTCCATTTCTTCAGACATGACTGCACCCATTCAGCTGGCCCAGCCTGCAGAAACACAATCTCACAGGCCCATCACAAGCCATCAGAGATCACAGCCATTCAAATAAAACGCTTTAGCAGGTCCAGCCAGACGGGGTAGAGAAAAAGAAAAGAAAACAATTCTCCATTTGTGTTCATAAATATTCATCACATGCCAAGGAAGAGAAAGAGTGAGCTGGTAAACAAGGGAGACAGTAGAAGGGATCAAATAAATCCTTTAAGAAGGGGAAGTCCAAGTCATTCTTTAATTGTGATGAAATTACAAGGCTTCTAATCTCTCCAGCATGATACCAGTCATTTCCCTTCTGGATTAAAAGCACAGGACTTATATTCCAAACCTCATTTCCAATTAATCATTTTATTGAAAGCAGATTACAACAGTGCATGAAATCAGCGGTGGCATGCTGTTAGTAGGAATTTTTACTTGGCATTTGCTGTGAAGATGAAAATGTGATGAATTATGAAACCAACAAGCCCTGCAACAAAAACTGTTGTGGGTTTGGACACTCACCGTGTTCTCTGTACCGCAGACATCACAATGGCAGCGGAGGTGATGATGAAACCAAGTGGAGCAAAGAGAAAAACAAGTCGGTTAGCATATCATAACAGATGCTTCTGGCTGAACGTGTGAGAATCAACTGCAGGGCACAAGGCCCCTCTTATCACCGTGTGTTGGAGCTGTTGAATAGCTTATGCAGTCATGGGCTGGGAATGTACCAGCTCATTACCCAGACAGAATGTGAACAGACAGGATGTGCTCCTCACCTAAGGGCCCTATGATTCTGCTCTAGAGAGTGAGAAGCACTCCGCACTAAATTGTTTTTTCCCTGTTTAACATCTTTGCAATAATGTTAAAATTGATATACATTTACATTCTTCTAAATAAACTGGTTAAGCAGCTAACGCCTAAATGGAAAGCCTATGCCTGAGCTAAGCTCCTCACCTCTGTGTTCGAGATCATGGTGATTCTTCTCATCCTTCACTGGGAGATGGGCTTGGCTGCCCAGGGCGCCTAGCGCCAGCAGGCCTGATCCAGAGCCTGTCACAGGAGGGATGCCAGGCGGCTGCAGGCCTGAGGGGTGGGGTGGCAGCTGGACTGGAGGCCCGTGAGCAGCATGGGAGAGGTGCTGTGCCTGGAGCTGCTGCTGCTGTAAGTAGACAGGGAGACAGATAGACACCAAGTGGGTCGGAGGGAGAAGGCAAGGAGAAACCACACTCTAAACGTGAGGCTGATCAGTTAAACCCCAGGATGATATTAGCACATTCACACATCTATTACTGTCAGGATCAGACAGCAATCCCCCCTCAGTGCTATTTCCATACCAGGACAGGGTGGCATAAGCCCTAGATCTGTGCTGAGGAGGGTAGACATTATGGCTAACGATCGACTGCTCAACACGTCTTATACATATGAGACGCACAATCACAAGGCCTTAGCAGTGCATGAGGAGTTGAAATTTGGCTCAAAGTTTGATTCAACCTCTGTTTAACACAGAAAATCATTTGGCATCAGGTAAACCAGCACATTTCCTACTGCAGCACTCCCATGACATCAGTGAGTTGAGGAATCCTCTTAAGGAACATGAAGCTGTGTAGGAATCTGTCAGCCTGTGGGCTAAACAACTACCTGCTTTTTAAAACACTTCAAAAACACAACCAGCGTCTATTTACTCCTCTCATATTCATGTTCCTGGATTAACAGAACATGAATCATTTGCACACCCAAACTTTAAGAGACTGAAGGAACACTAAGTGCCAGAAGCTGGCACTCCTTCCCACTCACTCTGAGTATTTGAGTGTGTGTTTGTGTGTACATCTGGAAGGCTTCTCGGGAGCCAGGACCAGGGGTCCCATGCTGGCACTCAGTCAACCCTCCAATATTCACCATCAATATTTGAAAGGCACAGGGAAATGGATGGGAGTTAAAAGGCACTCAGCATGGAAGTAAGCAGTTTAAAGCAAGGTTAAATAATACTTAGCTGAGACACCAATAAAAACATCAGCAATTTAGTACCCGTCGACGAGCCAGCTGAATAATTCAGCTGCTGTTACAACATGCACCTCCTCTCATTTACAAGACAGACTTCAATCAGTGACCATTTATGGGCATTTTAGGAATATTAGACACTTTGTAATGACTGGGGAAATGGTACAACACACAGAACAATATGGTTGACCTGCCAAACACAGTTAAAAATACACTAACTCAGTAGTAACTTGCTCTCAAGTTCTTATCCCTTTTTGAAACAGAAATATTCAGTCACAGATCTTACAAGGGACACATCCTGCTAAAATATGTCATATCTAGAGGGTCTTTTTTTAATTGCCTATTGCCCTCTGCTGTATCCAGCCTGAAGGTAGAGAAAAGCAGATTGGAAAATAGTAAGGTTTTTAACTTGCAACCTTCTCCTTTGCTCTATAGGGCAGATGTCAATCCAATTACAAAATGTACCCAGGACACAGAGAGAGAGAGAGGGGGTGGGGAAGAGAGCAAGCGAGACAGCGAGTGTGTTATAATATTGTGTCCATGAGGGAAATTAAGGAGCCAGTTCATTGGCAGGGGAGAGCCATCCTTGCTCATTGTGTTTAATGAGGCACTGATGGGTAATATGCATGGTTGATCAGCAAGAGCCCTCATTAGAGGGCCATAAATGAAGACAATAATAAATAAAGAAAGGAGTCTGGCCTATTTCCTCTAATTTAATATTCCAAGATAAAGACCTACTCTTTGCCCTTTTTTCTCAGACTGAGTGTAGCAGGAAAAAAAACACAAAGGCAAAATTGAGCAAATGTATTATCGTAGTCTCTGGTGTACCAACGACACAAACTATACTGTACTATGAACGCATAGCACTTGGACAGAAAAAGTGCCATGCAACATGCACAAGCCTGTTAAGCCCAGATGTGTGCACACACCAAGTGCATTAACAACAGCACATACAGATATTTGTAGATGCCACTGACCATGAGAGCAGGGTAGGCAGCTTGCTGCTGCTGAAAAGGAGGACAGAAAACGGTCAGGCTACAGCTGCTCTAGATGTCCTCTCTCCATTATTACATACTGCAAATGATGGTGTTACAGACAAAAGAAATCTCTTTTAGTTCAACGCCCTTTTAATACAAAGCCCTTGAGTGGCTTTATCCAGGTGGCCACTCACTGGGAGAAAGGTGGGCTTATCTGAAATACTCCTTGGCTGCCTTCAATATTTGGTGTGTTTTCTAATCAAACAGGAAGCACCACCTGTCAGGTTCATCTCGACGCAAGCAGCTGCCCTAGTTGCATCCTATTAATGGCCCTCAGCCCCATCAATAAGGCATGCAGCTGGCTCCTGGATGCTGCCTGTCTGCCTGGCACGCTCTTTCACCCCACCTTGCTTTACAATATGCATGAGGATTTTGGCATGCCTACAGAGCATCTCCTCAATGAATAACTAATGGAAAGGTATTCGTAAAACATACAGTAGCTACATTTCCACCTCCTATGACACGAGCAGCCGGCTTCACTTGGGTGGAGGCCTGGCTGTCTCATAAAAAAACTGGTTGGGTGCCAAATAGGACCATATACTAAAATCATGAATGGGCTTGTCTAATATTTTATCAAATGTAAATTTTGTAATGCTTCTAATTTTAAATTATAGGCAAAGACCAACAGAGAGCTACAATGAAAGGACTACAGCGACAATTTCAAAAGGTATTCCAGCATTGTACTGTTCCAAATGTGAGAATCGCATACACAGGAAGGAGCCACATATCAAATCTACTTAGGAATAACTTGATTCCTTTGATGGAAGTATAAAGCATAAAGCACCTGCTTTAGTCCAACAGATAAAAAACAAACAGCTCTCCATCACCTACAAAGACACCTACTCAGACAAATTCTAGGGAGCAATTATCCTGAACAGAAGGTCACCGAAGGGGCATTCATTGAATTCCAATATGTACTTCCAGTCATCAAGTCAGCCTTTTGGGGCCCGCCTCTTATGCATGCTAAAGACTCTGTAAAATTCAACTGTAGTAATAAGATCACCCATAGCCTGAGCTTTGTATGGAGGGCAACACCAATCGCTTCTGTTTTAAGAGGCCAGGGTGAGTACAGCTGATCAATGAGGAGCAGCTGGTGCTTTGAAGCAGTGATGAACATTATACATTACTACTTGCTGCTGTAGTGAGCAAAGAACTGCTCTGCAGAGCTGTGATGGCTGACAGCTATCTGTACTGTCTCGGGTAGCTTGCAGCGCTGGCTGTGTTCTGCTCACCCTCAGCCTTTTAATTCCCACAGCTATCCAGGTCAGCAGTGAGGGATGAGGCTCCTCGTTAAAACCTTAGCCAATTAATGCGATACGGGCTGCGAAAAGGGATCTCAAGAGCTCTCAGGCTCGCATTTATAAACACACAACAAGGCAGTGAAGATGCCACAGAGACCAAAGCTGGAGCAACAGACCAGCTCTCGAGAGCTTTACTCGTTGTGCATATAGTTTGAATATATTGCTGAAGAATATAGCATACAGAAGAATATAGAAATATAT